TTTTTTTTTTTTATTTTAAGAAAAATTAGTCATAGTTTATTTCTATATTTTGTTATTTATATGAAATTATTTATCCCATTCTCTTGTGAATATTATAACAATATTATGTGTGGTTATATATACATATCTATATATTTAGAGTTTATTTTTTAATATTTGTAATAGATGTGATGATTATAAATTAGGCTAAAATATTATGTGTTTTAAATAGTGTTCTAAAAGTCGCCAGACGATTGTGTCTAGGCGGGACTTAGATAATAAGATTAAATATTTTATTTTTTATTTATTTTTACTACCTACAAAATAAAACCAACTCAAGTTATAATAAATACAACACCTAAGTCTAAAGAATAAAATAAATATATTATAAAAAATATAATAACAAAATAATATAATTATTATTTTAAGAAAAAAAAAACTAAAAAAATATCCTGAGCTCCCCGAATTAGGCCCGACTAGGAGTCGCCCAATTGCTTGGCCGCCGGGCCCATCTAGATGGGCGGCCGTCTAAGCTAACTTTTAGAACAATGATTTTAAATAGTATTTAAAATTATATGTGTTTTAAAAACAGTATAGATAATTTTGAAGGTTTTTTCTTAAATAGCATATAAAAATTGTTGGGTTTTTTACACACAAAAAAAAATAAAATAGTATAGAGAATCTAAAGTAGTGAGTGAAACAAAAATTCTAGGGAGCCATCAGATGATTTTCTTATGGAGTCATCCACCACTTAATGTGTTGACACTTGTTCAAATTGTATTTATTACAGGATACATGTCGATACATTATTGGTGAATAAGTGTGAATGACTCCATAAGTCGAGTCATGAGATGACTTCATAACAAAACTGGTGAGTGAAATTTCCATAGAACTCAAACATTTCTCCTATTGTAGTCTTGTTTTAATTTTTAAATTAATGTATGTTCCTCACATTTCATGATGAAGAGTAATTTTATTTTAAATAAATTAATACGTATCCAATATTTATTTTATTTTATAATAGTAATTTTCAATAGTATTTACTGTGATATGTGTGAAAAATATAAGAAATGGAGTGAGTATTAATTGTTTTTTTTTTTTTTTTAAATTTTTCTTTGCATTGATCAGCATATTTCTGTTACACCTTGTTTGGAGGTCATCTTCTTTATTCCAACTTAACCTTCAAAACCGCAGTTAACCTCGTCCAAGAAAACAATTAGCGGTCACCATTACCTAAAAACCAGATACCAAAATCTCTGCCCAAATTAAAATTTGTAAAGGGAAAAACCTGCTACAGAGCAAGGCCATGATGCTTGATTTTGGCAGGATTGGCCTAACTCTTTCTGCCAAATTCTGTGGCATTCCTGTGATTAATCATTAATCGGATTAAACCCAGGTTTTAAAAGAAAAAGGGATAAAGAAAGTATTTTTATTTTTTATTTTTTATTTTTCAAATTTTCAACCCTAAGAATCTGAAAAAAAAAAAAAATCCGATCTTGGACTTTTTTTCGCAACCCCATTATTCATAAATCATCCATCTCTTGCAGGGCTCATTTTCTTGATTTTTTTTTTTTTTTTTGTTCTTTTGTGGGTTTTTGTGTACGATTTAAAAACTGTGTTTTGATATCTGTTTGGTACACTTCAGTTCAGATCCTTTCTGTGAAGAAATAAGGTACGATTTATTATCCCCTTTGCTTATTCATATTCAGAATCAGATCTGTTTGATTGTTGCTTGTCTCCACAGAAAACATGTTGCTAATTGTGCCTAATGAATTGCGCTAATTGTGTTTGCTGTTTTACCAGCTGCATTTCCAAACGGGAAGGGACGGGTCGGGTCGGGTCGCGATGGCTACCGGTAACCCGCCCGTGTCCCCATTCGAAATGTCCTTCCTCAAAGAAACCCTCTGTGCCCAACAGCAGCTCCTCCAGAAGCTCTACTCTGAACTCGATGCCGAGCGCGAAGCCTCGGCCACCGCCGCCAGCGAGGCACTCAACGTGATTCTACGGCTACAAGGCGAAAAAGCCGCCGTCAAAATGGAAGCCGAGCAGTACAAACGTCTGGCCGAGGAGAAAATGTGCCACGCCGAGGAGTCCTTCGCCATAGTCGAGGACATCATCTATCAGAAGGAGTTAGAGTTAGCCGCGCTCGATTATCAGGTACAATCCTACCGGTACAAGCTCATCAGCCTCGGCTGCCCGGACCCTGCCTCGTCACCAGTCGACCTCAAATTCCCCGAGAATCTCTTGCAGAGGAGCGACAGCCTGTCGGGGAAGAAGAATTGCCCGAGCCTCGGGAGGCGAAACTCTGCCCCAATATTGCCCAAGTTGAAAAAGCCTGCGAGTCCGGAGCCCGATATTCCGGCCGTCACCTCGTATGGAGAGGAGATTCGGATGCTGGATATCCGTGTGAGGGAGATCACGGGCCCAAATTATCAGGGCCCGAGCCCGAAGAGCGAAATGCCGAGAAAACAGGAGGCGGGTTCCTACCCGAGCTCCCCGAATGTGCACGATGTTTTTGAGGTGCCGCAGGTGGAAAAACCGTACGAGGTGTCGAGCGTGAAGGTGACGGGGAAAAACGAGCCCGATTGGCTGAAGAAGCTGTTCCTCCAGTCGAGTGGTGATGAGAAGGGCTTGTGCAAGCCGAGCCATATTGCGGCTATTGACCGGGCCATTGTTGGGCCTGTGGCTAGTACAAGTGAGTCCCGGTCCGGGTTGAGTATGGTGAGAGAGGTGGAGAGGGCGGAAGGTCCGGATTCGAGAGAGGAGGAATTGAAACTGTTGAAAGAGATCAAAGAGGAGATAAATTTGTTGAGGGATGAGATTAGGAGTCTGAAAGAGAAGAATGTTTCGGATGAGTCGTCGAGTTATAATCTACCCGAGGTTCGTATCGTAATAACCTCTTTATTGTCGATGAATTAATAATACCCGCCGTGCAAATGCCTTGTTCTGATGAATTTTCTTTCTTTATTTATTTGTTTATTTATCTTTTGTGAATTGATGTATGATTTAGGCAATGCTTCATTTCTGGCTTTGATGAAGTAAAGTTTGGGAGATCTGAAGATATTATCATCATGAGGCGAAAAAGACGTGTTCTTCTGTAGGAAAAAACATAAAAATGTGTCCATTCTGACCCGTCAAACGCCTGGTTTGTTTGTTTGTTTGTATATAGCGATTTTTTGCAATTTGTACATTTTTGTCAAAATGGAGATGATTTGCAGTTTTCTTTTGTCTGATTTGAATAGCTTGATTGATATATAGGAGTGTCTCTTCTGTTATTTTTTTCCTTGACCTTTGAAATGATGAGAGAATGACACTTTTGGCTGATGTGTGATATGTACATTGTATGAAAAAGGTTAACAGAATGAGGAGATTCGGCTTCAGCACAAAAGAATCTCCGAATATTGTAAGAGAACGATAGTTCTATTATGATATTTTCATTTTCCTTTTTAGTTTTGTTGCGGATTTACGACTGCATTTTCCAATGTGTGCGTCATGATGTAAAAAACACATGATCTACATATCTATGCACAGAGCTTGTTTAACTTGAAAGATCTGATAATATCAGTTTTGTGGGATTTAATAGAACAATCAGTTTTCGAAAACAATGCCTATAGAGTAGCCGGAGATTGATTATAAAGGACACATAAAAGTTCATACACATAAAATTCGAGCTGTTGTCTTGTGATCGGGATCTCTTTGGTTACTGTTGTGGAGGATCGAATATCTATTTCGAGCAAATTTTGGATAGTTCATCGTTTAATGTTACTTTTTACACGTTTTTACGGTAGTTCTGGAAATCCTTGCAGTCAGAGGAAGAGAAAGGTTAGACAAAAGCTACTCAACTTCACTTCTTTCTTTCTTTCTTTGTTGATTCCTTGTCATTACATTGTCACTGAACAAACAATCACTGGCTTATTCAAATTTATCGAATTTTGTCTAACGACTGAGTTCGTTCTAGTATCTGCACAGGTTAACATTACTTGCTTCAAGTGACTGAATTTACATGCATTTGTTCCCATTCTGGAAAAGGACGTCCGTGGGCTGTTTACCGGTGATTATTTCGAGTAAGACGACTCCATAGCTGTAGAAGTCTCCTTGTTTAGATGCATTTGTTCCCACTCCATACTCTGCCAGTGCCATCCAAAAAAAAAAAAAGGAGCATTCACAAAAATTTAGCCAAAAATATTGAAGTTGATGAGTTGGGTTTTTTTTTTTACCTGTTTCTAGGCCATTTTTTTTTGTCTAAGGAACAAATAGATAGTCAATTTGCGCTGATGAGACACATTGTGGGGACTAAGGGTACATGGCGCCCGAGTATTTGGAGAATGGAGTTGTATCACCTAAGGTCAACGTGTACACGTATGGATTCGTGTTGTTGGAAATTCTCAGCGGGAAGAGGTGGCCGAGTTGTATGCATGGGTCGACGAGCAATTATGGGAAGTCTTGGGTCCGGTTCTGTCAGAGGACGGGGAAGAGAGAGTTACAGAAACTTGATGGATCCTTTGTTGGGAGGAGAATATCTGAAAGATCTTGTACTGGTGTTGTTGGGGATAGTCGAGAGTTGTCTGGAGCGGGACCCGGCGAACAGCTGGACATGGACGATGCTTTTAGGCAATGAACTCCCCTTTCATGTTCTTCGATGGAAGAAAAGAAAAAAAAAAAAAAAAAGAACTATATAGAATATATAAAAAAACCGATTTATTTTCTGGCCTTGAATATCAAGTTATATATCAGTTACTTCTATTAGGTTACGGATAAAAAAATATTTGTTATTGTGATATATATTGGATATATATAGAGAATATATGATATGATATGCATGGAAGTTATATGATATATATGCTTGAGATTTTTTATTTTGCCGTTTCCTATGAGGATTGTTTTGAGATATGTCGGTTCCAAATTTTTAGCGCGCAGTATATTTTCTTTTATAGTATATACTTAATTTACCTTTCGACTTAGGAAGAACAATTATAATCAATCAAATATTAGTTTGGGGTCCATATCATGTACTGGAAGCACTGTGCATAATTGCGTTTAGAAGTCGAAAATAAAAATATTTGAAATGAAAAAAAAATATATATATAATTATTAGGCAAAATAGCTCGTTATATCACAACATTTTACCATATTGCTAAAACATCACGACTTTTGAACCTTGGCGGAGAATATCACAACCTTTGATTTCTTTGCAAAACGATACACGAAAGTCGGAAACCGGCCATCCTTACATTATTTAAAATCATTTCACGAAAGTCTAAAAGTATCATCACCTCCGAAATACTCCGTATTGTTCTCAATAGATACAAATCTTCCCCCATGGTGTATCAACTATGGCCGGTTTCCGACTTTCGTGTATCGTTTTGCAAAGAAATCAAAGGTTGTGATATTCTCTGCCAAGGTCCAAAAGTCGTGATGTTTTAGCAATATGGTAAAAGGTCGTGATATAACGAGCTATTTTGCCTAATTATTATGTGATGAAATTTCATTTGTCAAATTACCACAATATTTATGAATTTTTTCTTTTGTTAAATATTGATTCCAACATGTACTATACGATGCTTTTGTTATTCGCAACCTACAATATATAGACAATGATGCAAAGTATGAATGTTCATCAAGTTGGTTGCATTTTACAGCGAAAAATATTATAATCTCAACTACCAAAGAGTAGGGCCTACCTCCCCTTGAATGCAATTGCAGCTGAGGTTCAACCCATTAAATCTCGGCATGCAGAATGATAACTGCCAAGCCATGGCTTCTGCATTTCAGGAAATGAGAAGGGCCGGCCCATCCAAACAGTCCCAGCTTTTTGACAACTGGTTTGTGGGCCTGATACAGTCCCCGATACCATATCAACAACCTCAAAACCTCATGCAGTCTTTCAGTAGCAAATGCTCCATCAGAATTTGTTTGCTGATAATGACAACACACAAATGCAACATGGTATTGATGAACGGTCGTCATAGGGTGGTCATGTATTCTCCCAAGCTCCTTCCCAGACAAGCATGCGCATTAACTGCAGCATTAGTTCTCCTCTGCACGGGTTATTCGGACCAGCCCACCAGAAGATGGTGATTGGCCCGCGAAGCTTGTGGCGCTTGACCCCCTTCCTTTTGGTGGGTTACCTCAGGCTATTACGGATTCGAATTTGAATTCGGTCTAGGTCTAGCTGTTGGGCCTACTGAGCGCAAGTGTGGCCCAAAATTCCGTGTCTCTGCCTCCATTTCCCGGCAGTAATGACCCACACAATCACTTTTTGTTTGGCTTCTCGGGCCTTAAAGGAGTTGGAGAAAGTGAGATTGCGAATATGGGTTTTGCCTCATCGAGTTACTTGAGAAGCTCGGGTGCCGATTACTCATTAAATCTTACTGTAAACACAAACAATTGTGTCGAGGATTCAGGTTTAGTAATTGCATTGTTAAGATGGCCAACTGCTCCAACTGGGTAATGTGGTTCTGATTTTAATAGGCAAAGTTCAATGTGCATATGTAGTTACTTAATTTCTCTACTTAATGTATGCAGGATGGAGATGCCCATAATAATGGTTCGTTAGTACAGATGGCTTTTGGCTAAGAATGTGAGCGATCTTCATTTGTTCTTCAACTGCAACTGCTTATTGTTAATGAATTTGCACTGCATACCTAAATGTGGTTGCAATTCCCATGTTAGCATGTAGAAGGGTGTGTGGATTCACTTTCCATGAAAAAAGGTCGAGCAATATATCAACAAAATATTAGTAGAAGAATATATCAAGAACTCTAAAGAAAGTGACGATGAGCTGTTTCATGTTTCATTGATGCTATCATTAAGTTCTATGAGAAGGGTTATTTATCGCATCTCAGTTGCTAAGCATAGAGAGTTGTCTTTTGAAGGTGTTGCTACAACCTTTTCTTGCTGTCAACTTTAACTTAATTTAACAAAACATTGATTACTTTTTTAGGTTGGTTTGTTTATCTATTAATGTTAAAAATAATTGAGTTATCAAAAATTGAAGATACAATTCATGAAATCGAGGATCTATTATTTGTTTAAGATAGTCCCAGTAAACATAGCGGGCCAAATTAACTGGTGTGTAGGGAATTCTATCTGATCAACATTACTTGAAAAGGTGAGGACCTCTAAACTGATCTTATATCTTATTTAAAATATAAATTACCATGTTTCAGTTGAGAGTTATGAACGTGTTGATACCCAGTTTTCCCTACCTAAAGGGTTAGAGCATGCACTAGCAATCACAACTGCAATTGTGTGCAGGATTAATGTTTTTCATAAGTTCCATTTTTTGAAAAGTTTTTTTGTTTTTTTGGTAACTATGTTTCTGATTTTGGTGTTATTAAGCTATGAGGCCTATCAAATAAATAGTTGGTTATATTTGAATTGTTTTTGAAGTGCTTCATTGTCGAGGTATATCACAATTAGGATTTTGGGATCAACTATTTTACTTTGGTTCTTTTCATGTTTGGCACATAGTATATAGTTTTATTTAATAAATAACATAATGAAGATTTTTCATTCAAAATAATCATTTAGAGTGCAACAATCATATAGAGCGCATTGAGGAGGATCCTTAAAAAATGTTCTTAACATACCTCTTATTCATATCTTATTCATGTTCTTGAAGACATTAGGTTCTTATTCATGCTCTTAAAGACATTGGGTGTGGCTGCAATTAGATTTGACTAGTATCGTGGCCCGTGCAAATGCACGGAACTATTAAAAATAAATGAAATAAGGAAACATAAATAGAATAAATAATTTTTATATGCAATTAAAATAGACTACTATATACAATGTTTGTATCTATATATTTTATTTCTCATTATATATCAGTATCTTGTGTATTTTTATTTGTAACTCAAGAAGCAACAATGTAAAGTTCAGTATATATCAGTATCTTGTGTCTTTTTATTTGTAACTCGAGAAACAACAATGTAAAGTTCAGAATTAAAAGCCTAAAAGTAGATTCCTATATATATATATATATATTAATATATATTCTTTAGTTTTTTATTAATAGAACAAATTGACATA